ATTTTAAAATTTTATAAGATAAAATAATATAAATGTAGGTATTTGTAAGTGTATTATTTATTTTACAAAATAATCTTATATGAAATAAGTTAAAATAGTTATCAATAAAATACTTTTTTTTTATAGTATTGCTAGTCTAAAGATTTAGACAAAATAGTGTTAATATTTTACTTAAAGTATTTCCTGCCCCCCCTGCCAAAAGGGTCTAGTACTGCCTATGTTTATACATGAATTTCTTTCGTTTTTTTCTTTATAATTATCATTGCTGTTAATCAAATTAACATAAATTATATAACATTAACTTATCACTATTATTCTGTTATTCGTGGAAATAAATCCCTATCGAATATTATGTAGTGTTTTTTTTCTTTTTCTTTTTTTTTTTGCATATTGTGTGTGTGATATGTGTTCGACACTGGACGCGTTCCCCGACAAAATTAAAAATAGAAACAAGATGAGACTGCGAAAGTTTTGAATGCAGTCAAAACCGGGGAACGGAGCAATGATTTTGCAAACAATTTAGAACTGAAATCGTATAATTTATAAAAGACACATATTTTAAGGGAACAAGGTTGCTTATTGTGGAGCTACCGCGTTATTATACCAACTAAATTTCTAAACAACTTATTAAAAGAACTTTTGTTATTGTCAATATGGACACTTCTAATATGAAAAGCTTGGCTAGATGATATTTTTGATAACCAAGAATGGACATAGAAATTGAAAATATATAATTTCGACAATTGTCTTAACGTGTGGCAAAATCCACACAAGTCGGTTGTAGCTCCGTAGAAATGACCAGGATCGTTTAAAAATAAATGTTTTTTTTATAATAGTTGACGCAATAGCAAAATGGTTAGAAGTCTTCCCTTCAGTTCCATGACGACAGAAATTGTGATAAAAACGTTTTCGGGGTCGATTGCACGATTCGGTATTCCAAAAACAATTACGTCTGACGGTGCAAAATGTTTCACTGGTTTCATATTTCAATCGTATTGCACTGCTCTCTGTATAAGACATATGACTGACGCCAGTGGCGTAGTTGTGGGGGGCAAGAGAAAGGAGAAAGTGCCACCCTGACCAGTGCTCGACTTGAGAGGAGACGCAGGGGGATGGAGTACCCCAACTAATTTTCAGAAATTTTATCGTCCCCCTACTATTATTACGCTATAATCATAAAGTTCAGCCAGTTTCGGGGACGTTCTTTTTTTTAAGTAAATAAAGTCTCCCTTTTTTAATTTTGCCAAGTCGAGCACTGCCCCTGACAATTTTTTGAGAGATAATGGTATAATTTTGCTCCCCCCCCCCCAGATAACAACAGTACAAACAGCACTTTTTATTAATGAACTCTTATGGATATTATTTAACAATATTGGTACCTAGTATCTGCTACCTACAATTTATGTTAATCTAAACCACAAAATGAGTTAAAAGACTTATGTAAAATCAAACAATTAGATAAACTGTATAAAATACATACAATACAAATATGTTTTAAATGGTGAAGGGGAGGGGAGGTAGTAAATTATCGTAGTAAGTTAGTAGTAGTAGTTAGTATTAGTAACCCGTATCAAAACAGTTCTATTTACCGTCAACCAGGTCGTTGTAAATTGCGGCCTGGGTATATTTTTATACATATTATAAATACTTTTAATTTAATTATGAAATCCGTTGATAATTATCCCAATAATACATAAATATGAACTAATATTAATATAAATTATTATCATTTATAATTTTAAGTAGTGACAGTACATAATCTGATGAATTCTGATAATTTTTTTGTGTTTTTTATATCAAAGACAATGACTAGGTATACATAATATTTATCGACTCTTACTTCTCTCTTAAAATGTTCGCAATCGATACATTTGAATTCTTGACCTTCCATTTCTGCCAAAAACGAAAAACAAATCAAACACTCCTCAGAAATTTAAAAATAATAAAATTATATTAATTAATTATTTTTTATACATTTATTATTATTATTATTATTTTAATTTTTTTATTTAATAATTTTTCTTTTCCTTTAATAAATAAAAAAAGGGCGAGACTCTGCAGTAGACATGGGACATTTATAAGGTTGTCGTTTTGTCAATGATATAAATTATACCAAACTGTGCAATAATGGTAGATATATAAATAAGTGCTATGACGTAAAAAAAATTAAAAAATAGGCAATGATACAAATATGTTGAAACAATAATATTTTTGGAATGTATAAGATAGAAGTTAACAGATAATATACCTACTTCTTGTCAACTGATTAAACATCGTACAAGCAAAATCCAAGTTCTATTACAGCATATTATTTAACATCTAGGAGACATCTGCAATGATTAACCTTTTATTATTTAGGTACTAATAGGTAGTAATTAGGTACTAAATATTTAAGGGAAAAGAAATACCTAATCTTAATAACTTGTAATGTCGCGAAAGTGGCAAATGCTAACTGCACTGCTACAATTAGCTTTTGAATGGATATTATAACATTTTATGGGGTACCCAAATAATTTTGTTGAGACAGAGGCACTTAAAAAAATAAATAAGTAGAATATGCGTACAATAAATTAGGTATTACCAGAGCCTGATTTAGAATTTTTTAGGTCCCGGACAGAAAAAAAAAATTAGGTAGCCTAGTTCTATGAATTGTAAATTAAATTATAATTAGTAAATATAATAACCAGTTAATACATAATAATAAATAAAACAATATTAGAATATAGGTACTTTTTTCAAAATCTTTAGAATTTAAAAAAAAAAATTGTCTACCCTTTTTTCTTGCAAATGGATCAATAACTTCATCGAAAATAATGCTTGCAGTGATGTAATTTTTATTGGATAAGATTTCTAGAACATCCAACATTACTTGATCTAGAGATAATCTATTTTTAATTCTTTTGAGATTTAATTTAAAAAAATTAAGGATTAATTAAAATTAAATGAATAATTAAATCCAGTAGGTGGGTCCCTAGTTCGAATGGGCCCTGGACAAATACGCACAATGTCCTTGCGTAAATAGGACCCTGGATATTACCTAACTTTTTTATATATTTATGAACTTATGTAGATATCATTATTGTTATAAAATATTTTATTATAAATACATTTAGGACAATAGTATATATAATATATATTAGATAATAGTATATATGAGGCGCATAGAACCAAAACAGCCTAACCCACAAAAGTGTAATTGCGTAGTACGGACATTTTAAGTTTTGATTATTTTCAACATTTTTTTTTCCCAATAAATCCACCCCAAGTAAAATAACAATAACTTATTATTATCTATAAATCCTTGTCTTTTAACCCATCTATAAAGTACTAGTCAGTTTAAAGTTGATTAAGTTTTAATATGGTTGAGGTCAATATACATTTTAAAAATTTTTTGTTAAAAGCAATTTTCTGTGGTTTAGGCCAACTTATTGAAAATTTGTTATTCACTCTAATTCACATAACATGAAAATACAATGTAAATAATTGTATTAGTTTATTCGTAACTTATTTTAAGTAATATTGTAATTCATTTTTAGTACAGAATAATTATTAAAAATGAGATTGTTATTAAACTTAACAAAACAAAAATAGAATATCACATTTAATAGTGTGTAACAATAGTGAAATTTATAATATTTTACTATTTGATTAACTTGAAATTTTGGTATTTATATATTTTTAACATTATAATCATATAATATAGTTTTCAGTATCAAATAATATTAATAAACAATATGGTTGTTACTGAACCTAACAAAATAAAAATAACTTTTAACAGTAGTTTAACTTACTAAAGTTCAGATTAAATTTCATCCTCCTCATTTTCATCAAAATTAATTGGTAAGTCATTAATGGTGTTATTATCGTCTGTTTGTAGACTGTTATAAAATAGATGATTGATTGGTGGTATTAATTAATTTATTAAAATTTTAAACCGTAATCTGAAACGTTTTATCACATAAAACAGAATTTGATTTTTTGTGGGTTAGACTATTTTGGCTCTATGCGTTTCAAATATAAATACATTATAGGACATTTGTTAATTTTTTTAAATCTAATTATAATATATTTATTAAATACTAGCTCACCCGACAGATGTTGTTCTGTCTTAGTTACGAATATTGAATCCCAATTGATATAATTAGTAACAACAAAAAAAGAAGTAGCGAAATCTGTTCAGCCGTTCACGCGATAAGGCATTACCAAGGGAAATAGGGAATTATTTCAAGGGATTCAAGAATATATAGGAAGATATAATTTGTTTTTGTGCATTCGTGTTATGTTTGCTCAAATTTAAAAAGATAAAATGTGCGCAATCCTGTTACCCCCGTATCGCGCACATAACTCGAACCTTCCTCTGATGAATGGCGGATGCATTTCGGATGCAACCCATAAAATAATAATAAAAAAAAAAATTACTTATGATAATTTTAACATATTTAGTAAACTTCATTTTGTCTCATTGTAAATAATACTTACTACGTGATGAGATTTTTTAAACAACATTTTTGTAGAATACTCTTGGCTTACTTTTATCAACCGGGTTTGTCAATACATTATTAGTTTTTTTTGTTGATTGTTATAAACAAAGCATTTAGTTGATATTCTCTTAAAATTCTGCAAGAAGAAAAACTTTGACTTCCATGATTTTTACGAATTCAAGAAATATTAGAAATATTAGTAAAGAAAATAATTTCGAACAGCAAAAAACAAAGATCAATTACTTCAAATGTTAAGACTTGATCATTTTAAAATATGAAAATATGTATTTATATAATATAGGTCAAATCAAATTGAATAATAAATAAAATAATTTAATTAAAATTTGTTAAATAAAAAGTTTCAATTAACGTGGTTTTCATTTATCCGATGACTCCTCTCTACCAATATCTCAAATAATCAAGTTTCTACAGTATGTCTATAAACTTAGGAAAAATTAATTTTCAAATAAAATACTGTTAAACAATAATAGATTGTTTTTATTTAATATAATTTTTGAGATCAACAACACAATATAAAAATAAAACTGTACTCAGAAAAGAAATTTATCAAAAATGTTGAAATAATTCAATCATCTTTAGTAGCAACCATTGGAAATCGTACAACACGCAACTCTGTACCATAATCACATACAATGCTGTCTGACAATGTTAACAATTGATTAACAACATTACAATCAGAATCCCCTAAGCTAAACACTTTAACTGGATCACCTGTTTGCACGTCCATAATAACTATACAACCCTAAATCATAAAACAATTATATTATTACCATTTTTATGAAATATTTATTCATTTTTATATAATTAAGAATTAAATTAATTTACTTGTTTAGAAGTAATCAGCAAATTATGTGTTAACATTGCTAAATCATAACAATAGACATTGCTCTGAAAATAAAAAATTAAATTAAATAAGTATGTTATAAAGAGAAAAAAAAAATATCTTACAATTTGAATACTGTTGAGTTGATGACCATAAAATCTATCCCACACACAAATTTTATCATCCTGACCAATGCTAATAACATAACTAGCTGAACATGTTAAACCTAAAACGGCTCCATCATGACTTTGAACTGTATACATACAAGTACCTTTAAGTAATGAAAAATATGAAAAATGTTGACTAACTATAAATATGTACCAGTTTTTGCAAAAAATATTTTATTTTAGACAAACCAGTAATTAAATCCCAAACACACAACATTCCATCTTGACTTCCTGAAACTGCCATGTTTGGATTTACCTGATCAATAAATAAACATGTAATTGGTCCATAATGGCCATGCAACGTGTATAATAACTGTCGATCTTCAATTCTAAACACCTATAACCCAACAATAAATAATTAAGATAAATAAAATGATAATTTTAATAAATAGTACAGTTATTACATAACAGTGGTATATAGGTAAATATATATAAAATATTACACGAGGCTGAGGAAAAGGAAAATATGTTTAAAAAAATGATTCACACAAAAAAGAAATAGCTTAATTAAGGTATTAAAAGATTTTTGCAACCTTAAGCATGTGATCTTGGCTTCCAGTAACAATGTATGCTCCATTTGTTTCAAGAACTGTAATTGGTTGATTATGTGCTTTTAGGGATTCTAAATGAAGACATCTTACAGTATCGTTTGACAAATTTAATGTATGAAGAGATGATCCTACACTTCCAGTTCGCACGTACTCTGAAATAGAAAATTCAAACTGTAAAATAATTTCAATATTATTTGCAGAAAATTAGTATTATTTACTTCTAAGTGGTAATTTATTTTTGGGCCTTTTTATAGATTCTATCAGAGTTGAATCACTAAAAATATCTAGTTTGAAAAATTCTAGACACCCGTTCAATCTTACAGCTACCACATATTTATTGATTAATTTAATTGCTGTAAATCCATCATTCACGTCTCCTTGCCACATACACTAATTATTGTTTGCAAATTAAAATAGGTATCAATCATTTATGCCAGAATAACATACTTTAAGAATCCCTTTGTATAAATCCCAAAATTGTAAAGAACCATCAGCACATCCCAGAACAACAACATTTTCATTACAATCAACACACCATATTCGGGAATTTACATAGATTTCACTTTCAGAAATCTTTTTAGATTGACTTCCCCATTCATTATATTGATCTGAGTCAATAGTAGACCACACTTTATTTTCATCCTGATTTATTGTATCAGAACTAGAGTTTTCAATAGAAATTAATTTCTTGCACCTCACACATAATCTTAATAAACAATTTAAAATCAAATATATGTCATATACATTTTACATATAAATATTAAATCTTACTGTTCTGAATTTTTTAAAGGCTCTTGAAAACTATAAGCTGAAGTAGAATTAGAATCGGAATTATTAACACCTTTAAATACATCTTCCGATGAACTTAATTCATCAGTATCTTCGTCACTGGCATCATCTAAAATAGATCTGAAATAAATAAAAATATAATACATGTGAAAATTAAAATATATAACATATATATATATAACATATAATATTATATGTTAAATTTGATATAAGCCAATTAAAAATAAAAGAAATATAATTATTATATAACTAAATATTTAAAATACTATTATTTCTTAATATATTTAGAATAAATTACACAATATATTCCTAAGTAGATTGAAAAACATCATGCTTTTAGAATCAAAGAAAAACGTAGATATAAATGAATGATACTAAGAGCTATACTCCATTCGTGAGAAAATCCAGTTTATAACAAAATGTAATAAATTGATAATTAAAATATGTGAACAATATTTAGTTTAAGTTTAACTTAAATTTATTATTTATGACTGTGTTCCATCTATTGTTTCTCCTGTAATCTCCCTAATATAATCATTAATTTACTATATATTATAATGTATCTATAAATTTTCAAATGGCATTAATTTAAAAAAGTATTTTTTCAAAACAACTGTGTTAATTTTTATTATAATAAAATAAAATGTATTAGTATAAAAATAACTTATTTTTCCAACTTTGATTTTGATAAATTACCTATCAATGGTACAAATCAATTCACCAGTTAAAGAATTCCAAACATAAATACAACCAGCGAGACATGTACTAACAATAATATTTCCATAGGTAGCAATACATTCAACTGGCTGGGCATGTCCTTTAAATTCAATTGGAACTACTTCTAATATAACCTAAATAATAACTACAATTAATTTGAATTTACATACAAACAATAACAAACTGTACATACTTGTATACCAGAGTCTTGCTGTACATAACTCATGTCGTGGCTCCATCCTGCTCTCCATTCAGCATAATTACGACTACAGACACATCGATACAACATTACCAATGTATACACTAATACAAGTAAACTAATCAAGCATAAAACAGCTATTAGGATTAATTCTGATGGTGAAGTAGGTATAAAAGGTTCAGATGATTTATCAACATTAATGTCTTTTCGACTCTCTAATGGTGCTACTATATGAGTATCTAAATAAAAATTTTAAACAATAAAAATTAATATATTTGTTTATTTTAATAATTTTAAGAGGTACTTACCAACAAAATCAAAAGGATCAAGAACAGCCGCAAAAGACTTCCAATGAGATGGAATAGATGCATCAGTATTACTTAGAGATTCTCTTAACGTTATAGCTTCCTGGGGTGTTACAGAATGAGCCAAATGTATAGGTTGTAATATAGATACATATGATCTAGCAACACTAATATTATACATGTCTAATAATAATTGCCAATTATACCAAGACAATCTAGGCCAGTGGGGCCAGTTTTCTGAGTTTAAAAGTTGTACATAATATGGTGAATCATTTTCTTTAGATTCATTAGCCTGATATAAATTATTGTATTAACGATAAACAAAATTAATAAGTATAATATGTTAATAAAAAATACCTTTTTGTGCAATTGATTTTCTTCTTCAGCAACTCTAGCTTTGTTTTCAATAATAACAGCTCTTCGGCCTTCTTCCCATGCCAGGGGAAAATGTATATTTGACCGTTGTTGAATATTTGGTGATTCAGTTGAAGCAGATTCTTTCAAGTCAAAAAATTCTTGTACAGTTTCTGTATTATAAATTATGCCAGAAATCCAAAATATCATAACCATCATTAATACACGTTGAACAATTCTTGTAGCTGCCCAAAAATATAGGAATCTTAAACGTTTAGAAATTGGTGATCGTCGTGGATCTTCTATTGGAGCCATAACTTGTAAGCCATTCAAACGTGGATGAGAAGCAGACTTCATCATCACACCACTACGACTTGAATGTTTTAAAGCAGGAGGGTTAGACTTGTGCATTTTATTAGCTAAATTGGCAAATGAAAATGGGTAATATGTTTTTTGATAAGTAGAGTCATCTATTAATTTCATATTCAATGATATGAGTGGAAGAAAAAAGACCATTTGAAAAAAGTAATCACATTGCAAACCCACAATGGCAAATATACAAAATTCCTAAAAATACAATTGTAAAATTAAGTACAAATTTAAAATAGATTCAATCATACTATTATTTTACTTGAATCGATGGTACAAAAGTCAATAATCCAATGGTTAAAATAGTAACCTCAATTAAAAGATTTTGAGTTATAGCCCATCCTTCTTTACTCAATCCTTGAGCTAATCTTATTTTTACATCTAAATTTGGTGCTGTTGAACCCACTGATTTGATAATAATTAACATATTTTCAAGACCAACAACAATAACTAAATAAGGAAATACCTAAAATGTTATAAATGTTTATAATAAATAAATATTATCAGGTGAATTCATTAAAAATAAATTACCATTTGACTTTGAATATTAATTGTAAAATCTAGTCCAAAAATAAAACATAGTCCCATTGTTGTTAAAAGAGTTGATATAACTGTAAGAACAGCCCCAAAACTTATTCCTACCTAAAATTAAATTAAAATTAATAAAATGCATATACTAGAAAAACCAAAGCAAAAAGTTATAAATAAAATACCTTAGATACAAATATATCCATTTTTTTTATAGAATAATAAATATATGCAAATAGAAGTATGTAGCAAGTTACTAAAAAAAAAATTGTTTCATAATTGAACTCTCCAGGATAGTAAACATGCAAAGTTGATGTGTCCGAGAGAATTTGATTTGATTTAACATGTATAGGATATAATTGCATCAAATGATTTTTTAATCCTTGTATATATCTGCAAAAATTTCAAATAGTATGTGAAAATTAACATATTTCAACATAAAGGAATCATATATTCTAGAGTTTCATATAGTATAGTACAGGAGTGGCAAACCTTTATCAAGTTACATTCTAAGATGTGATAAAAATCAGTGAACGTTTCACATATCAAAAGATGTTAATATAATTAAAAAAATAGTTTAGCAATAATCTTAGTTTGAAATATTTAAACTTCTTTTTTTTTTGTGTCAGAAGTTTACAAGGTCTTAGTTTAGTAAAAACTTTAATTAATGGTTAATTTAATTTACAGTATATTTTATTAATTATTACTAATATATATACCAAACTTTTATTATCCTAACAAAATAATAATAATATAAACATTTAATATTTATCATACCATACCATTATATATTTATAAAAGTTGACTTACGATGGTACAAGCTGTTTCATAAATATTGTAATAGCAAATTGAACTATTCTTTGCCGAGGATGCATAGAATATCTTCTTATTCCAGTTTCTTTAAGAGGCATTCCGAAAAGTAATTCAGGAATACTTATTTTTATATGAGACGAACTCTGAAGAGTAAAAATTATATTTTATACAATTAGAATCAGTTAATTAAAATTAATTAATTTTTTTAAATACATTTAAAATCAATAATGAAATATTTGAACATTTATATGTTATATATTAATTATATTAATAAAATAAATTATGATTAATAACTAATAATAATACCTACATTTATTGAAATATCCAAAAAAAGTTAATACCTGAAAAGCAAAAATAGTTTTCTCAAGAGTATTATCAGTACGAAACTCCTCTGGATTTTGATGCCACAAATTAGTTGGTGATATCAGTAAACAACTGTATTCTGGTAATATTTTTGAATCAGAGTTAATGTTTTCTACATGTAGACAGACATCATTCAAGGATATTCTGAAATTCAATAGAAAACCAATTAAATATTTACTGAATAATGACATTTTTAAAATAAATACTTATTATCTATTTGATAGTTTCTTATAGTCTCAACTAATTTGAACGATTCAGCCAAAGGGCCTCTAAAGGCATCTGATAGAATTAAATTCTCTGTCCACGGAGTTACCATTGATCTTATGATAATCTGTAAAGAGTAATTATATTATTGATATCCAAGTAACATTTTCATTATGGAAAACTAGAACAGTTAGATAATTCTAAATGAGTTACTTGTTGAATATACACACTGGGTTGGCCATTAAACCATCGATTTGTTATATTTTCTGGTTTATAACTTGGTGTTATAGTTGAATGTGCTACATTACTAAATAAGGGTGATCCAAACAGTGATAAGCTATAAAAATATATTAATATTGAACTATATTATATATAACACAACTACATAAATATAAGGGTATTTTTGAACAATTTAGCATGATATATTCAAACAAATATTTTGGAAAATTAAATCATGGAGTGGTTTAATTATTTTGTTAAAATAATTTAATATAATTTTTAAATTAAACTTATCTTATAAAATAATCAATTTACCAGAAACCTAAAATTTCAATGTTTTTATGTTGAAAATAATAAGCTATCAGCAGTATTACTAGTTAATTGTTTACCTGCATAGAACTACAGTCACAGAAGAAATTATTAATGATACAATCGGATGAGAAGCGCAAAATAAGCCATAGGAGTAGTATAGTTGAGACACTTTATCCGGGAGACGTTTAGCCACAGCTGAATTTGAGTTTTCCATTTCACCCGAAATCTGCAAACATTTTTTGAGATAAAAAGATAAATATACTACTCAAATACAAAAATACATACTTATTCATGTAGGTATTGTTGAATAGGTTAATTAACAACTATAGCCAACATAGTCAATGACTGTACCATTGATAAATGTAATAAATAAAATTTTAAAATTCCATTATTTAATTTAAATATCAAAGATTAATTCAATTGTAATCATCTTGTGTAAAACAAGAAGGTCAAAAGCCTATTCAGTATTTAGGTATTAATGAATAAAATTTTATAAAAGATAATAAAACTTATAATTGATTATCAATTAATAAAAACAATAAGATGATTAGAAAATTGAGAGAGAGAAAAAGAGAGAGGAAATCAAAACTCAAACTAATCAAACTTAAAAAATAATAACAATCGACTTGATCGTCTAAGAGCAGTTGAACGAGACATTATCTCAACTGTAAACATTGAACTTGAAATTTCAATCACACCATAACAAAACGGCACGATCGAACGATGCGTGATATAGGCGGTTCAAGATACTGTCGTTTAATAGATACCGCGGTTGGAGCAGCTGTCCGATGTTAACATTTTTGTAAAGTCACCGGACCAATGCATTCTATTCTTATCAACGTCATTATTATTATCACATCGAGTCATTCATGATTCATTAATATTATTCATACATTATTATTACCGAACATATTGTAGTAGTGGTGCCTATTTAGAATTTAGTGAAAAAAAAAAAAAATATATATATATATATATTTCCTCGTTGCCAAAATCTAAAGTTATTGTCGTACGTTTTTATTTCATTTTCCAACAAACAATTGTTCGACGTCGTGCGTTCGTTCTGCTAGACGTATTAAAAGCGTTCAATTAGTATTCGCATAGTGAGTGATTTTTATTTTTCCTTATTACTTTAACCTCGATTAACATTCGTTTGCCGGGCGTTGATTTAATTCATAGACGTAACACGTATTCATACTGTTCAGAGATGTCCGACGGAGATGTGGTTAAAGATGGCGTTGACAAATTGGCGATACATGATGATGATGATATCGATTCCAACTACAAACCGCCGCCGGAAAAGTCCATCGAAGAACTGTTGAACGCCGACAAAGAAGATGCAAGTCTGCAAAAATATAAGGAAAAGTTACTGGGCGATGCCAACAGCGGAAAAATCATTTTTGGTAGTTATAATCAATTATAACTAAATGAATTAGAGTTAATTTTTTTACTAATGCTGGGTATATGTATAGAAACTAACAGGAATTTCTGTACTGCTAGTTTCTTTTAAACATAATTTGAAAACAATAATATTAGGTTTATATTTCAGTAACATGTATTGTATTTTGGGGGGTTTACAATTTACTCTGTTGAGTTCTTAGTTTATTTATTATGTATTTATTATTTAATTAATAACTGCCCTTGTGTTAAAATTATTTTTTTAGGATAATAAAAAGTAAAAATATAGAAAAACATTTTTTATTTTATAGTAATTTATGTAATTTGATTGAATCCATGGTTGAAAAAAAATGGAAGGAAAATGTTATTATTATATTCAAAAGTTTAAATCATTATATGTTTTTCTAGATCAAAATAATCCCAATAAAGTTATTGTTAAGAAATTAGCACTATGTGTTGCTGATAGACCAGATATGGAACTGGATTTGTCGGGAGATTTAACAAATTTGAAAAAACAGGTAATATATTTTCTTAAATTAAAATATTATCTTAAGATTTTATTTAATTGATCAATGTGTACTAAAATATAATAATATTACAGGTGTTCATTATTAAAGAAGGAATTTCTTATAAAATTAGAATAGATTTCATTGTTCAACGGGAAATAGTACATGGTCTCAAATATGTTCAAAAGACTTATCGCCTTGGTGTACCAGGTAATATTTCTAAATAATATAGCTTAATATAATATATAATAATAATAATGATAATATAATATAATAATAACTTTATATAATCATAATATTTGATGATTGATGAAAAATCTAACTAGACAAATTATTTATACAATTTAACTGTTTTTATTTATTTTTTTCTAAAAAAAAAGTTTAAGTTCTGTAGCTGAACTAGAAAATACAATTAAAATTAAATGTTCATGATTTATGATGTTTGATATAAATTCATTATTTTATTTTATTCATTCAGTTATTTCAAAAAATAAATTAATTTAAAGTTTAGGTGTATTTCTGTTATCTATTCATATATTTTATTTTTATCCAGTTATTTATATTATTTCAAAATATTTAGGCACATAGTTTTAAAGTTTTGATAAAATGTATAAAGAAAAGTGTACTTTAAGTGCTGATTTATTAGTAAAAAATATTGAGGATTGTCTCCTAAAAAATATGCTTAATTGTTCTAAGAATAAAAATTTAAAAATATTTAAATTCATCATTGAATCTTAAAAATATTGATTTAATTTACAAGAAAGAGTAATAATTTTTATAAAAAAAATTAAAGTACAATGTATGTTACATAATAACTAACCCAAAATTATTTATCAAATTTGACAATGAAATAATTATACTTTCACACAAAAAACCTCTACTACTTTTATCAGCTGTTTTATGTAAAGTTATAATAAACACACCCAATAATAATTGAGGTTCTAGCATATAAAATATTAATATAAATTAGATATGAATATAAATGATCCATTTTAAAAAATTATAAATGAAAAAAATATGTTTCTTTCATAATCTATTGCTTATGTCGATAATGATTTTTAAACACAATTAAACTTGCAAAATTACCTAATTGTTTTAGGTATATATGAGATTAAAGTAACATTATATTTGGTATGTTAGTGGTCATGAATGCTTTAATATTAGTCACACAGGGACGATAGAAGTATCATGTTTTTTATATTCTTGAAATTAAGAGAACTTGTATTATTTATTAGTTTTATTTCGTAAATATTATTCATTTTTTAGTTAATTTATTAACATGCTGATCAGGTACACCTTGCCATAATATAGGTAGAATTTTGAATTCAATTACTTGCATAATTTCTTATCTATAATGGATAGTTTGATAATTACTTAATTGAACTTTCAATATTACTATTAATTATATTAATTAAGTTCTATTGTGTTGTTAATAGAATTATTTAATGGACTTTGCTTTAAACATAGAAAGTGGTTGATAATTTTTATTTGTTTACTATAATATAGTTGAAAGTAAATAATTAAATGTATTATAATGCATGATTTTCTGTTTTATTAGTGGATAAAATGTCCCATATGGTTGGATCATACCCGCCTAAGATGGAAATTCAGAGTTACACTACACCATCTGAAGATGCTCCTAGTGGCATGATGGCCCGTGGCTCATACACGGTTCATTCTTTGTTTACAGATGATGATAAGAATGAACATTTGAAGTGGGAATGGGTGTTCGAGATAAAAAAAGACTGGAAGGACAATTAACTTACAGGGAATTTCATGTATCTATCAGTTATAAATTTGTAACGACAAAATTTCATTAACATATATGGTATAAGTTTAATAAGTTTTATTATTTTCATTTATCATTTTTTTTATTTAGATTTTTAGATAATTTAAATTTTAAAAACTTAATCGGTTTATTTATTCGTATTATAACTATGATTGTAATATTCATAAATTGTATCATTGCTTAATTAATTTATATGTATTTATATATATATATAAATTAATATTTTATTTAGACTACTTAATATGGTGCCAAAGTTATATTTCGATCAAACTCATACTACTCAGGTCTCTAATTAATTTTGGGAAAATTTATTTTTACTTCATTTTTTAGGGACCATGGGATTTTTATCGAACAATATATTTTTATTTTTTTTATTATTTTAAATAACATCACTTAAAAATTAAATATTGTATTTTTGTAAACAAAAAATTTTTTATTGTAATTTTTTTTATATTTCATTGTGCATAGTTATACTTTTATTCGAATATATTCATAAGTTTAAAAGCTGTAATGTCAGAGATTAAATAAATAAACGATTAATCCTTTATATTCAATTTAAACATTTTTAATTTTATTGTTTCTGAAAATAAATTCAATTTTAACTATAGTTTAAACAATGTAATATACAAACACAAAATATTTTTTGAAGTATATCTAATTTATTGTTAAGTTTTTTCTACCTTGAATTAGTAAAATTATTTTTAATTATGTTACCTAAAATAACAGAAGTGTACGTAAAAAAAAAAAAAAAATATATATGTATAATATATTAGTGAAACAATATAATTCATTATCAATAGCGACGTCTATCTCTATCTCGTCTATCATGTTTGTGGCTACGACTGCGACTTCGACTCCGTGTACGGTGTCTGCTATGACGACTCCGTGACCTATTAACATTTAATTGTACATATTATTTCTAATGTCATAAATTAAAATAAGTTTTGTACTGACCTAGATCGTCGGTGACGATCATTTCTATCTTTACTTCTAGATCTGTAACTTCTTTTATCATCTCTTTTGACACGTTCTTGCTCATCAAACTTACGGCGAGCTTCATGTCTTTCTTCATAGTTTTTCTATTTAATATAATTAATATATTTAATATTTTTAATTAATTAGTATACTTTTAAATTATAAGTAATTATTAATTACTTCAAGCTCAGTAAGTTTTTCTCTTATTTTAATAAATCCTAAATGTAGTTTTCCTCCGAAATGGTCAGCTAATCTTCTATCATTATCATGTATACCTAAGTAAGCTGAACAAACATCACACACTCTTAATTTTTGCTGTTGATAACTGCTCACGGGCATTGAGTTTCTATAAGTATCTTCAGCTTCTGATTTTTTTTTTCTCAATTCTTCTATCTTTAAAAAAGTAAAAAAAAATAAATAGTTTATCAATTATTTTTCTAACATATATTACATAATTAATTAATAGTTACATATGTAATTAGAACAACATACTTCTCCCATTAATTTAAGACTTTCATCCACCAAACCTTGGGCACCCAATTCTTCAGCTTTGGCCAATGTTTGACCTATTTTTTCAGCCAACTCGTGAACAGCATTGGCTTTTTCAGCTACTTCAGCTGTTAGTTCCTCTTGAGTTTCTAATAATCTTTTACGAGCTGCTTCTGTTCTTCGATCACAATCACTAATAAATGCTTGTAAATGTTCAGTGGCCTATTAGAAAATAAAAAATATATTATTAGTTTTAAATAATTAAAAAATATTTTTCTCAACTTACATCTACATCATAATAGTAATCAAATTTCTGTTGAGCTTTTTCAAAATCTGCTCTTAGTGCATTATCGTGTATTTTTGGACACTCTCCAATGTCCATACGCTGAAATAATATAAAAATTAACTAAAGGTTTATAAAATACAAAACAAAATAACAAGGAAATTAAGGATTTATTCGGAATAATATTAAGATTAACCTGGAAAAAAGAAAATAAATGTATGTATATATATATACTATAATATATACATGGAAAGCATTATATCAATTTATGACTTACGTAGTGAGTACTTAACAACCTCAAAACTTACACTTGCTCACTCTAAGAAGATACATGGCCTGAATGAATTATGTTAACAAAATATAAATAGTATAACATAACATAAAGCAAGTAAATATAAATAATTTATTTTAACAGATAGCTCTGTCGTTGTCTCAAAATTGTTTGACTTACAGACAGACGACCATTTTATAATTTGCTCACCGACATTGACGCATTGATGGCGAGCATCTTCCCCATCTTTGTATCATTGTCTTGAAACGAATCAAAACACAATTCGTTTTTGACTATTCCTAGAGAGGGTGACAATAATCAGGATTAAGAGTAAAACATTCGCATTCAAATAGACGTAATTAACTGAGTTGATGTACGTACTGTCTTCGGTGAAGCTACATTTTCAGAATAATTTTTGTACATAATAGTATAATACCAATTGGCAACTTAAGAGATAAATCATAACTACTCACAAAAGGTTTGTTGATATCTTTGTATGCTTTGAAGTTTAGTGCTTTTCAAGAATAGTGAATAAAGAAGTCAAAGAAAATAACCCTATACCTAACTTAAAAAAAAAAAAATAATATAAAGACTAATTGAATTCAAAAATCTATTACTTTCATTTTTTACAAAAATAAATAATTAAATAACGGTTAAAACACAATATAGGCATTGTCTAATTGAAACTTAAATATTTTACTTTCAACTATCTGTTTACAAATAATAAAAATTAGACTCAAAATTATTTATTATTAGTAGGCTTAGGGACTTCTAGCATTTGCATACTTTTTTTAATTATTTTTAAATATAGCAGAATGCGAAATAAATTCATTTCTCAGTGTCATGATATCAGACCTAAAATTTAAATGTGCATATTTTTGCATATTTGATAGATTTTGCTGGAGAGTGCATATTTTAAAATTATTATGCTTATTTTAACAAATTTTTCAAATTTTATTATTTTAAATTAAAAACTATAGATACAAATAACATATATACATATTTCGACTGAAAAAAAGTGTACAAAGAGGTACTTCCAGTAATATGCTATCGGCAAACTACCTTTCATATCTCGTTATAATTTTTATGTAAGTATAAATAATACTATAAGCCCATATCGACCGTATAGTCCGTGGATCGATAAAGATAATAGTCAATATAGTATAATAGATTATTTGTTAAGTAATCAGTTCAGTCGATTATTATCTGATATTGTTTTTGCATCTTGTAAACACACAACTTCGAATCATACTTAAAACGTTGTACATAATATTTTGTAACATTGTGTAATGCTGAAAGTACAACATTCTACGAGTAGCCGAGTAAAAAGTTTTGTTTCGGAGTTTAAACATACATTTACATCCGATGGACACGTTTTTTTTGTGTACTACGTGGTCATTTTTTTTTTGTAATGCATATAAATGGATATTATAATGCATATTTTAATGATTTTAGTAGCATATTTGTGTATTTTCAGAGCTATAAGTCCCTAAGCCTAATTATTAGGAAGCAGATTTATAATGTATTTATAAAATGTATATATAATGCAAGCAAATTAACTTAATAAACTATTTTTAGTTTTTAATAATTTAATTATTATTTAAATGCATGTTTGCTTAAGTATAAATGTTAGAATATCAAATTAAGTTTAAACCAAACAGTTTATTGAATATTAAGAAAATTATAAATAATTACTATTTAATTACTATTGAAGTTTTTTTAAACTAAATATTTTTAAATAAATTCAGTGCTGGCTTGGTACTTAAAGGATTCTCAAAGCATTTTTTTTAAAAAAGCCCCTTCAATATATTCCATCAAATTATGAAATAAAGTAATAAAATAGAAATATGTTTTTGATTTAAAATGAGTATTCATTTGGATCAATAAAAAAAAATACATGTTATTTTTTTCTTATACATTTTTTGTAGTGAATAAATAAAAATTAGTTAATCTCCAAATTGCAACAAATATAGACAAATAATATGGTATACTTGTCATTTGATACAACATGCTTGATTAAATAACTAGATAATTTAATGAATTATTGAGCAAACCGTGGTTATTCAGGGTAATTTACTTTAAACCAGTGTATTTGAATTATATTTTTTACTATTTTGAAGTGAGATTGCAATAGTTTTTAACAAAAATATATGACTATATATCATATGTTTACCAATTTAAGGAACACTGCATTTTTCAACCGGATTACATTAGAATAAATCAAATTTTTTTTTCACAAGCAAGTGGTATATATATAATTCAAAATGTTTATCAGTTAGTACATGCATACACAGTACAGTATATGTTTTTCAATTGCAACGCCTATTATGAATACTACATTCTGAGAGGCATTTTCTTTTTAAGTAATTTTAATGCTAAGTTCAAAATTGACTGAATAAGGCCAATTTCAGTTTTAAAATATTATATATTATTATTAGAGCGCAAATTTGTAAGCACTTAAAGTATTGAAATATGCAGTAAAAATCATGAAAATATGCAAAAAATATGCAGTCAAAATCATGAAAATATGTAAAAAATATGCAGTCAAAATTATGAAAATATGCAAAAAATATGCAATAATTTTTTGTTTATTAAAAAATTTATAATTCAACTTATAAAAATTAAATACTTAAATATTTAATACAAAAAAAATTTAGGGAATTTTCTGAACTTAATATATTTTTAAAATTTTATTTATTATTAAAATGAATAATCATATACATTTCAAGTTTATCTTCTGTGAAGCTGTGTCGTTTATCGGTTAACATATTTTTAAAGACTGAAAACGAACCCTCGATGTCAACCGAAGTTATTGGGGCATATTTGAAGCAAGTGGTATGTCGATAATCGACTGACACAGCAAGAGCGATTAAGTTTACGTCGTAATCGATTATTTATTTTATAACTAAATATATATATATATATATGAATTATTATTTAGTGACTATGAAATTTATTTTTAATTTTTCTACTTGACAAAATATTATTTGATACATTTTTTTTAAATTTTCACTTCAATATGCAATAAATTTTGAATTTAGCCAAAATATGCAATAACCTCTAAATATGCAGAAATATGCAAAAAAAAAATTTCACCATTAGCTTCAAATTATGATGATTCGTAGAGATAACTGACAAAAATCCATAAATATTGAAAGGAAAAAAATATGCGATTGCATAGAAATCTGCACTCTAATTATTATGATTCATAAAAATATAAATATATAAATGTATATTTATATACTATTAACTTATAAAAAAAAAATTTGATTTATTCCAATGTAATTTGCCTGAAAAATGCAAGGTTCCTTAAATTAGTGAATACACATTATATCTATCCACTATAAAGCTGTTGTTGTTATTATTGTTGTTATTTTAATGATTATTATAGATGAAAACTATATATATATATGTATAATATATCGATTTATAGATCTACATCTTTAGCTAATATTTGTTAAACATATTATATTCTACACATTATCATATTAAAATACATCAATTACAATTAAATTATTTTACAGATCTAAAGAAATGTGGGGCCCTCAATATAAACATGGTCAGTTACCATGACCTTGCCGACACTGAATTATTATTACAATAGTAAAATAATATAACCAATATTTTAATTATTTTAATATAATTTTAGTAGAAATGGTTGTAAATTAACTAAAACTATATCAATAAATTTCAAATGTTTTGTATTTTTAATTATATATATATTAAATAACTAAATTGTTAAGTATTTAAAGATATATTTTGAAAATCTCAAAAATTTAAAATGTATTTACAATTAGTTTAAAATAAATTTTAGACAATAATAGATATTCTAATTATTTGAAAATAGATAATTATAAAATTTACAAATTAAATAAAATAATTATACTTGAAATAAAAATTATTTATTACTCCATTCTATCACAATATAGAAGAAATATAGTTAAAACCTACTAATTGTTTACTCACTTTTTTCTTGAAGTAGCATGTTAATATAACAAAACTAATTGGTTGTTTTTTAGATGATATTTAATAAATATAAATAAAACTTATACTTAAAAACTAGAACTACAATATATTTATTAGGTTTTAATGAATATAATATAAATTATCTTATATGTATAAATACTCACAATATAGGAAGATTTTTCAGACTTAGATAATACTAGTTATTACTTCAATGTTAGTTATTATTATTAATATTATTTTTAAATAAAATTGGTTAAATCAGAAATATTTTATCTGATTTATGTAAATATTATTTAACAAATTTTATCAATAACTTAAAATTTTAGATTTATCAATAATATTTACACCTTACTATAACCCATTACAATTTTCATATTAAATTTAACAAAAAAAAAAAAAAGAGAATGTCAACATAATTTATAGCATAGAAATATTTTAAGAATAATACTTTAAATATACAAACAAAAAATGATATGCATATGAATGAAATCATAAAATAATAACGAAGGTATTAGATTGATTGAAAATTAAAAACTATATATTTTAAATTTATTTTTGTCAATTTTTTATTAGCAAGTTACAATAATAATGAATAACTATTATATTTATCACAAACTAGAAACATAGTTTACTAATAATAAAAATAAGAAAAATTATATAGGAAAACAATTATTAATTAGATAAGGCTTTTTTTTTTTATTAGTATATGTGCATAGTTTTTAGCCAACAAATTCAATCAGAAATTAATAGTGATTAAAATATATATTGAATCTAGGATAAATATTCTAAAATACAAAATGTTTTTGACACATACAGAATGCACTGAGATAATTATCAATATAATTTTAATATCAATGACTACCTATTATATTTTTTCTAAAAATATTTATACTAGTAATAATTTTACTTAAATTTCGGAGATAAGCTGTCATATATCTATTATTGTATGTCAATATGAATACAAATATATATTTGTATAAAATTTATTAACATTTTTTTTTTTTTTTTTTATAGTTACAAATATTTTATAAGAAATACAGTATTATGATTAAAGTTTATCATTTATATTTAATGTATCTAATCTTGATTTTTCCCCAAATATTGTTATATTTACTTTTAATCACATAGTAAGCATAAGTAGTAGAAAAATAATTTTTATTATACATTATCAATTATGCAATTTAATTTAAAATAATACGTAAGCTTTATGTAAAATAAATAAATTCAAATAATTAGTGTTCAATATTTTAAATGTAAACAAAGTTTAATATGTAATTTGAATTATAATGTATGTATTTTCGTATGAGATGGATATATTTTAATAAAACTTAATAAATTATATTTAGGTATGGTTAGTCTATAGTAGTACCCAAATTGTATAGCAATAAAGTATTAGTTTCTATCATAGGGCCTATGGAGAACATTACGAAAACCCCAAACAGTTGAATATAAAAACACAATGATAATTTAGGTAATAGTAACATAGTTTAAACACACAAATGTCTATACTTACGGTGGAAGCCAGTATATCGTGCGGACAGCAGTACAATAAGAAACTTTTACACACTTTCGGATCGTTGAACTGCACTTGGTATCTACTCGTTTCGCCTGTTTGATCATAAAAAAATCGCAACATTAATCTCGACTTATCCGTAG